TGACAAAAATATGCTACCTGTTGCTCTCCGAAAATGGCCAACAGGTGTTGTTAGAAAACAGTATACATGTGGGCCTGTTTTTTACAATATTTCTAATGTAAATACGTTTGTGAAAGAAGAAGAAGATAGAGACAATATATTATATTCTCTTTTCTATTCATAAATTCATCTCTTTAAATGATACAATGATTGTCTATTTATAGTGGTTAGGCCATCGTGGCCTTCGTTAGATTCGAGCCACGTGGCTTGATTCGAGATCCTTGATGTCATGTCAATTCTACTTCATATTAATTACATTGACAGATTCTTAATAAAGGGTCGGCCACTTTACAAATTTAGGTTGACTTCTCTAACACTTAATAAATAAGCACGTCACATCAATCAATTCTGGAAACGTCCCAATTAAACCTGCCAAGGGCCTCAGATGCTCCAGGAAGTTCAACAATAAAAGATGAGCAGGGGTAGGACCACCTCAGCTGATCTTAATTTAACGACCTTGGCATTTAATCGCGACTAGCTCTTGAATAGTTTGGATGATTGCCACGCGTAAATATGAGGGGATCCACGTGGCCATTCTGTTTGACTAGTAACACCACCTTAATAAAAAGAAATTATACACCATAATAGAATTTAATCATTTCCACTTCTTTAATAAAGAGAATGTGTTTTGCATAGTGAACTGGACAAAAGTGAATATGATAAACGAAAAAAAATTCATGTAATAAAATTTATTAGCTATATTTTAATCATTCCCCTTCCATTAATAAATAGAACGTGTTTTATACGCAGAACTATACAAAAATGAATATGATAAACGAAAAAAAATGCAAGTAATAATCAGCTATATTTATCCTATCTGCCTTCATCCACCATATAAAATTGTATGATATGCCACAAGAGAACAGTCGAAAAGTACATTCATTTGAACATATCTTGGATCAACTTTTTGCATAAACTTCTCCAATGTGATTGTTCGTACTTCACTATATCGTGAACTTTGTTACTGAAAAATGGCTACTCTAATTTTTGGTATATGGTTTATGAAAATGTTCAACTCCTATGATTAGTATCGTTCAATTTGATACAAATACTTAATTCTGTGTTTGGTTTATCTAAAAATCAATTTTTAGTAATTTTTGATAAAAATTGATATAATTGTGGTTGAGAAATTGACAAAAATTGTAAATCTCATAAAATATGTGGTTAAAAATAAGTTTATGAATGAAGGCCTAACATGGGAATGTCATCGAACTTGATCCGAGCTAGTATAATATATAATCTATTCACAGTTATCTTACTAATAATAGGGACGGCTAAAAAACTCCGTCCTGTCCCAAATGGGGCAAAAAAAAAAAAAATCGATCACGAATTCGTCTCGTTGTCATCACTAACTAAGAAAATGGATCCAATGAATACAAATTTGATAAATTGGTGACTTGCATAGTATATTAAAAATGCCAAGTTGTTGAAGATCGCAATCATGTAATTAGTAGGCAGCACCACGTTTCTTCTAAAACAGTGAGAAAAAATTATTAAAAAGATTGCATGATATAATAGGATTAAAATGACAGATGTCTTTGACTTATATATACACTTTTAAGCCAATTGGATTCAGTTGTCACGAATATGAACTAATTATATTAAATTTGTGGGCTCATCACCTCTCCTTCATTTGTCATTTTTCTCTCTAGTGATCAATTTTAAATACTTAGCCTTGTTCGAGCCTAATTAGGTAATTCGTTAGAAAAAAATGTATTCTTAAATAGTGTTTTGATATTATTTTAATTATATATTTTTTAATAAAATAATATTATACGTAAATTTAAAATTTTTTCATATTTTTTAACAATACATTTCACATCAATATACTATTCAAAAATAAATTTTTATGACAAAAATGGAGCTGGACGGGGACTTATTTTTACTAAGAAGGAAATGTTGGTTTAGAGGCAAAATTAAGTAACAAGTCAAATCAAAATAAAAGCAAATAGATTGATGTAGACTGAAGTCTTGTTTATTTTAATCGAATAAAATTATGACCCCGATTGGCTCCGATTCTCGTTCTTATTTTTTTTTCCTCTTATTTTTAACCACACAATCTTTCATAAAATAATATATCACGCAAATCAAATTTTTTTATTCTTTTTCAACCATACATTTTTTAAAAAACGCCATTCCAATCATTAAAATTTGGAAAGAACAGGGCCATATGTTTAACTTTTAATTAGTCTATATTAAGGGCCTGTTTGTTACCCTTTAATTTCAAAAAGTGCATTATGAAATAGTGATTGATATTGAAATGTTTAGTTAAAAAAAGAATTTTTATTTATTTATGTGTAATATAATTTTAATGAAGAATGTTTGGTTAAAAATGAATACTGCAGAAAAAATAATATGGTGAAATGGTTGATAAATAAAGATTAAGAATAATGCTGCGTGTACAACTTTTCCCTTGGGATGGGGATGATATCTTCTTAATTTGTTCAACAATAGTTCGGCGGTAAAAAAATTTTTAACTATCAAATGATGTATTGCCACGTGACACAATATAAATAAAGATATCAAATATGGTGTACATGTAGTATGATTAGGGATGGCAAAAAAATCGGCTCTGCGCCTCTAGGGCCTCGCCGCGAATGGGGCAAAAAAAATTTGCCCCGTGAAGAAATCCAATACACATTTTTTTGAGCTGTTGTATCAATACTCACTACTATAATTTTTCATAAAAGAGTCAATTAAGTGCCCGTTAACCCTATTCCACAGTTTGTTCAAACTAAGTTGGCTTCAAAGATGGATCCTAAATTTATTGAGCTGCCGGGTGGCTTCCTGCTTATGGAAATGGAACTGAAAGGTAAACTTTTGCTATTTATTTTGCCAGACCAATACATGTCATAGAAATATAGATGAAGTAATAAATTTTCAAAAATCTAAAGAAAGAGGAAGAGCAAAGGTCCCTTCTCGTTTACCTTCTTAAGAATTTAAGAACAGGTATTTCACGGTATGCAACTTCATTAAATAGCTAAATGTAGTCGTAGTGCTGAAAAAAATATTAAAAAATAAAATAAAAATTAAATTGGACAAAAAGCTGCCGTCACCGCTCCGTCTAAGGCGAGGCAAGGCAAGGTTTGGGCCAAACTGGATGGGACGGGTGGGGGCGCCCTGTCCCGAACCTACCCTGTTGCCATCACCCCCGCCCCGCTTGTTGCCATCACTAAATATGATTGTTTTATTAATTCCTATTCCCCGAACATGTTCCGTTGCCATCACTAAGGCCGCCCCGCCCCGCCCCAAACTCGCTCTATTGCCATCACTAAGTATGATTGTTTTATTAATTCATATTCTTTGAATTTTTCCCGTTGCTATCACTAAGTATGATTGTTTTATTAATTCCTAAAAATGATTAAAAAATTTATACACTAAAAACAAATTAATTCACACAAAAAGCCACAGTTTTGAGTCTAAAATTGAAGAATAACTCACAATTTTATTAAACTTTTATCAAAACATGTTAGAGGAAACCTAATCAAGAAACATAACTGAATAGCTTCCTAGTCCCTAAACTTTCGACAAAATTATAAAAGGCACCAAACATAACTGAATAGCTTCCTAGTCCCTAAACTTTCAACAAATTATAAAAGACACCCAATACCAAATAACAATATAAATAAAATGTTATAATACTGAAATAAAACCCATCTTTATTTCTTCTGTATCATAAGTCCCATTATTAATTATTGGGAAATTGAATTATCACACCATATCATATACAAGTTTAAGCCATTAAGAAGAAATACATATTTTCATTTAAATTTTACGTCCACATACATATAAAATTTATTTTTTAATAAAAAGTTTGATGCAGGCACATTTTTTAGTTGCCGCAAAATTTGAATTCAAATCTTTTATAAATCTGATCCTTTGTTAATCTCATAGAAAGTTTAAGCTTGTCGAGAAGAACCACAAGTTGACTCAATTCAAACTCCCAAAATTATTAAAGAATATGGAAAAAAGTCTGAAATAATGTGGAAATTATCTCAAAACTTCTTGGGGGAGATAACAATTATTAAAGACGAAATAAAGATGAAATTGAAATGACTGAAGATGGGACAGAACATGCTAAATGTGCCTTTTCAAAGAAAAGAAAGAATTAACTAATTGATACTTATCTTCCAGTTTTGTGGCTTAAAACAGTGTTACAAGTGTTACATATCACATTTATACACACAAACACATATTGTGGGACGCGTACATATCACATGGCATGCCTTAAAATTAGAAATGACAATGGGTCGAATCAATTGACATCGCGTTTAAGTACGAGTCGAGCTCGTGCTCAAGGGCCGAGCTCTTCGAGCTGAGTCGAGCCCATGAGCTCGATTTTTTTTTATTAATTTTTTTACTTTTTTTTAAAACATTTTTACGAGTCCACGAGCTCGTTGGCTCGTGAGCTTGACGAGCCAAGCCTTGTTCGGCTCGTGTTCGGGCTTGTATTGGAACGAACTCGAGTTAAAAGCTGGAATTTCGTGATCCAAAATATTGAAAGTTTGTGTATCGAAATTTATTCAAAAATTAACAATTAATTAAAGAAGTTTTTAATTTTGTAATTTTGCTTCCGTATTCCAACAATCCCGATTAAAAAATAATTAATCCATCATAATCTTTTCAAGATTTCAAAATTCACTTACAAAAAAACCTCATATTCATTTCTGTAGTAACGCATATCATTAATAACCTTCTTTCTTTCTTTCTTTTTTTTTTTTGGTATTTAATTCAACTTCTACCAATAGTCGATCCCTCTTTTTCGGACTCGAATATGAGAGTGTTCTGACTCGAATGAGAGTTTGTAAAACAAATATTCATACAACACAATTTTTTTTTTTTTTTTTTTAAGAGCTTGTGATATATTCTCATAATTTCTCTAGATGCACTTATTTCAAGACTCAACAATCCGTAGCATAATATCAAATTGAAGATAAATTGAATAGCAACGGACAAGAAAATATACAAACTAAAATACATTAACTGTAGTAAAAGATTTACATTATATTTTTTACTGATGTATCTAATATTTTAACTAGAAAAGGCAAATGTCTAGGAATTTGTCCTCCCAAGAAATGGAGTAAAATTTGGACAAGAACAAAAGGATCTGCTAAAGATTTGGTCATATTTGGTCGGTCCAATTTGCGTCTTCTAGCATCCACTGATTTTTGCTTCGTGCCCTTTATTCATATCAGCATCATCTCCTGTTCTCCATTACATATTATACCAAGGAATCATATCATCACCTCTTTAATTTGTTTCCTTAATTTGTTCCCTTTTTGCTCCTGCAAATTCCTAACAACATTAAGATTAAACAATTTAATCTAAAAATTTACATTATTAAAAGGAAAAAGAAAACCCTTAATCTACAATATGCTCATACGTGCAAATCTCATTCTTTTTTCCATTAGAAATATGATACGCGTGCAATTTATGTAAATAGGTAACATAGAGATTTGAGCTTAGAATCTTGTTTGATAGTTGAATTCAGCCTCATCTATAACAAAAGTTTAGAGTGTTGAAGACAACATTTAATAAATATACGTCTCCCTTCTTTAATAATTTTTGACGAGATATTTAATGTGATATCAGAGTTAGTCATCATTTATATATAAAAATTATTAGGTTTAAAAGTGTGTAAGAATCTTGTGCATGAGATAGCCTATTGTAGACAATGTTTTAAAATAATGTTTAAAGATTCAAAAGAGACGTTTAACATAGAAAGAATAAATTTACTTATTTTTAATCATGTATTTGTTAAACTCTAATAGACAAAATATGATATAATGGGTGAAATATACTAAGTTTGACACAATTTTCTTTTCCTATAGGCAATTGATTAATGATGTTTTGGGATACCTTAAACATAGTAAAGTAGGACAAAACATCATTTGAAAAGATAATCATCTTTTTAATTTATGATTTTCACTTGTATTAAGAATTATTCATACTTTAATTAGACAGTGATTGATTGCTTACCAGATAAATTTATGAACGCAAATTATAGCTGACTTCTGTCTGATTAATAGCTTTTTGTCCTAGTTCATCCACTTCCCACAAAAATTGTCCATTCTCCTGAAAATGACATAAAATTCGTCATTTTTGTAAAAAAAAACAATCGCATGTTCTCTAGATTAAGATAGAAAAAGGAACTAAAATCTTGTTCGTCTATACTGCGACAAAATATTAGGCATTTGGTCATGTTGAAACAAAGGGATATTAGATGAATTGTCCAGTAGAGGATAGTCATTTGTTGGTGTCTCTGTGGGGCTGCATAAATTCTGCATGTTTATATAGCAAGGAAAAATAAAAGAAATATTGGCCCCGTTTGGTAGGGATTTTTTGCCCAAAAAAATTGATTTTTTGACCGTTATTTTACTATTCAAACCGTAATTTTTGACTTCTTCTCTCACATATGGACCCCACTTTTCTTCTAACGATTAAAAAATCAATTCTCAAAATCCCTACCAAACGGGGCCATTATTTAAAATGATAAAAATATCGTTCACTAAGATAAATTTATGTACCTGATCAGGTTCTAAGTCCATTCCGAAGTCGTAGAACATGGGATTATTCGAAGCGAGTTTCATCGAGAGAAACTGAATATATACATTGAGAGGAAAACATATATTAATTTTATAAATTGATATTGTGTTTAATTAGATAATTTGAAGAAAAAAAATATTATACCTCGACTTGATTTTGCAGGGACTGGACATAGTTGATTATTTCATCCAACATAAGGGCCTTCCCATTTACCTGTTTATCACTCAATCCACATGAAGCTGTTGGATGAAGAACTTTGAACAGAATAGAATTTTTATATACAGAGACAATTATGCGGATCGACTTTCCGACAAAATTTCTTTCGAGCAGTGAGTCTGAATGTAATTTAGGAACACAAAGACACTAAACAAATGAATTGTAGTTTCTCTAGTTCTTTCATTGTACTCCCCATCCTCTGACGAGGAAAATTTTTTTTTTTTTTTTTTTTGTGCACTTATAAATGTAATATTATTTGTGATTTATAATATTCACCTTGTCACAACCAGGAACGAGAGCTTGGAGAAACTTCATTCTTTCACTTATTCTTTCTCTCCTCACCTGAAATAATTTGAAAATAAATTATGAAAATCCACATTCCAAATTCTGGTAATTTAATAGGATTCTTTTTGAGGAAATTAAGGTAAAAAATAAAAAATAAAATCTAATAGAAATACTTGAAGAACAGTTTTTTGAGTACCCTTTCTGCAAGGCTGTGACTATCTGTTGCCTGGCCCCTCCTTGCTCTTACATGAATGTAACCAGCTGGAGCATCTTCCTCTTTAGCTTTTTTATCGTCTTTCTTCGTTGTCTTCTTCTTTTCAACCCCTTTGCATTTCCTTGGCTTCTTTATCTTCACTTCCCTTAAATCCTAATACACNATGATGTCGCTTTTACTAAAAATGTTATGTTTATTACTAAAAAAGGCGATATAAATTTCAAGAAAATGAGGGGACAAACATTACAAAAAAAGTAACAAAATTTTAATAAAATGACACAACATGCTAATTAAAACGTGATACAACATGGTAACTCACTTGTTAATAAAAATGTCACATATCATGTAACTTGTCTTTTTCTGTATCATTAAATATGAAAGTAATTCAATAAAATTAAATGAATTAATTTTAAGAATACAGCACCCTACAAATTGGAAGTGACAAAAATTTTAAAAAGTGACAAATACTGGAAACAAAAAGTGACAAATTACGTTAGTGTTAATAATTTAAAATCATCATCTTGTCTATACATGAAAAACATGAACCATCATATATAACCACGTATGACATCCTATATTCAATATAGCAATGTTCAACAAATGGTTGATTTTCTTTCGACTTGCCATAGAAGCTGATGGGGACATTTTTCGATATCCCCGATCATCACATTCCCGACGACTATTATTGATAAAGGTTTAAATCCATCTGCGGTGTCCTCGAGCATGACCATCCTCGAGACATTATGCTCGACCACATCTCATGCTGCTTTCGCGTATTGCAAACATTTGTCCTCGGGCATAGTCCTCGAGCACGTCCTTCCCTCACTACTGACGATTGTTAACCCTTTAGAATTCCTACGCAATTAGGAATCTTAACTCCCACAAGAATCCTATCTCACGTATAATTCTGGAATTCAACCAACTCCTTAACTATTCAGGACTCCAACAGATGATGACATCCAGCTAGTTGAGTCCAATTAGGAGAATGTCACTTACTACTATAAATACAGAACCTTGAACCATTATTCAGGTACGTTTTTCATTGTTCTTCAGCACATAGCCTCACGCATATATTTCCCTTTCTGACTTAAGCATCGGAGGGGCGACGAGAACACGCCTCGTTGCCTTTGTTTCAGGTACCGGGAGACCACGATCGTGATCAACCAGAATCATCAAGCTCGGAAAATCATCAGGTACGATTTTTGGTAGCATCATTGGCGCCGTCTGTGGGAAACGCTACCAGAAGCCATGGTAAACACACGTTCAGGTCTTCCACCAGCAAGCTCATCCGCTCCAAACCAACCCCCTCCTGAGGATATCCCTATTCCTCAAGAGGAATCATCAAAAGTGCCAGAGCCCCAGCCGACAGTCGTCACTGCTGGAGCCTTTGAAGAGCTCAGACAACAGGTCGGCACACTGACTCAGCTGCTAAGTCAAAGAAATTCGCATCCCTCACCCACACCGGCACCCCAGGGGGGTTTTATGGCTGATGCTCGAGCTCGAGCTCATGTCCCTGACAATGGTGGAGCAGGGGCCTCGGGCATACCACATGTGACCTCGGCCTCGAGATCACTGACCATGGAGTCCGGGGAACTTGCTAGGATTATTCAAGAAGGAATTACGGCGGGCCTACTTCAGGGCAACAAAGGGACGACAAGATTCAGTCCCAACACTCCATTTACTCCCGAGATATTAACATTCCCCTTGCCGGACAGATTTAAGTATCCTAGGATCAAAGAATATGATGGGACCACCGATCCAATCAATCATCTGAACATATATACGGACGTCATGAATCTATAGGTTGCACCAGACCAGGTGATGTGCAAGGCCTTCCCACAAACTTTGACAAATGCTGCTAGGGATTGGTTCTCAACCTTAGAGCCCAACTCCATAGCCTCATTCTCAGATTTGGCGGACAAGTTCTACGCTTTCTTCGCAAGCAGCAAACGCATCAGGAAGATAGCGGCTTCCCTCATGCAACTTAGACAAGGGCAAAATGAGACCCTACGTGACTTCATGACCAGGTTCAACAAGGAAAGACTTCAGATTCCTGACCTACACATAACTGCAGCAGTTTCCGCCCTCACATATGCTATAAAGTGCGAGGCTTTCAAGATGTCTTTATCCAAAACTCCACCAAAGACAGTCACCGAGCTTCTTACCCGAGCCGAGAAGTACATAAATATGGAGAAAACACTGAATCCGAGAAAGATTGGACCATCCCATGACAGGGTCGAGCATAAAAGACAGCGTGACCCGAACCCCCGTGAAGAACAGCATCGAAAAAAACAGAGACAGGAGGTTCCCCCAACGCCGTTCACGCGTTTAAATACGTCAAAGACCAATATATTGATGGAGATCAAGGATATGAAGGAACTGAAATGACCTGTCAGAATGAGGTCACCACCTGAATCCAGGGACATGAACAAATACTGTGAGTTCCATCGGGACCATAGGCATACCACAGAGAACTGTAAGGCCCTACAACGGGAGATTGAAGCCCTTATCAAAAGAGGACTCCTGAGCTCCTACGTTGGTAACGACAAACGCCCGAGGAATGATCGTGGCAGGGAAAAAGACCCTGAGGCAAAAAGGGATGGTCGACTCACTACTGGAACCATCAATATCATCATTGGAGGTATTGCTACGGGAGGAGACTCCAACAGTGGAAGAAAACAATATGCCCGACGATATGTCTCGGAGTCTGGGATGCCTCATGGAAAGCTGGAGGATATTACTTTTGGGACCGGAGACTTAGAAGGTGTATCACTTCCACATGATGACGCCTTGGTAATCTCAGCGATTGTGGCCAATTTTGAAGTGAAGAGAATCCTGGTTGACAACGGGAGTGCGGCCAATATACTTTCACAAGATGCTTTTGCCAAAATGGGAATCTCATCTCACCAGCTCAAAGCGGTTAAAACTCCTCTCCAGGGGTTTGGTGGAGGAGTCATCACTCCAAAGGGTGTAGTTGAGCTTCCACTAACTTTGGGTTCTGGCCAGAAATAGGTTACGGAGATGACATCTTTTCAAGTGGTACGTGTCTCAATGGCCTATAATGCAATTCTGGGAAGACCACTCCTGAACAAGATTAAAGCCATTGTGTCCACCTTCCACCTAGCCATGAAGTTTCCAACAAATAATGGCGTTGGGGTTTTCCGTGGAGACAAGATAGCTGCCAGACAATGCTATGTTGCCAGCGTTCGGGAAATAAATAACGACGTCATGCAAATCTCGAGGATGGATCCCAAGGATGGGCAACAAGTTAGACTAGCTCCTGTCGAAGAATTGATGGAAATTGAGCTCGAGCATGATAAGAAGGTGACGATTGGTCGGGATCTTGACGTCACCTTGAAGACAGAACTTGTTGGTTGCTTATCTCGCAACATTGACGTTTTTGCCTGGAAGGTTGAGGATATGTCAGGGATAGACCCTAAAATTGCAGTCCATAGGCTTAGCATTAGCCCAGGGGCCAGGCCAGTAAAACAGAGGAAAAGACAGTTCGTCCCAGAGCGTCGGGAGGTCATCTGCGAAGAAATTAACAAACTCATAAGTGCTCGGTTCATTCGGGAGGTCCAATATCCCGATTGGCTTGCCAACGTTGTTTTAGTGAAGAAGGCCAATGGTAAGTGGAGAGTCTGCATTGACTTCACAGATCTTAATAAAGCATGTCCAAAGGATAGTTATCCCCTACCATGGATTGACAACTTGGTGGATAGCACGTCTGGACATAAGCTATACAACTTCTTGGATGCATTTTCTGGTTATCATCAAATCCTCATGGTCGAGGAAGATCAAGAAAAGACCTCATTCATGGCCGATTCCGCCATATACTGTTATAAGGTCATGCCTTTCGGTTTGAAGAATGCAGGGGCAACATACCAAAGGCTCATCAACAAAGTCTTTGCTAACTTGATTGGAAGGAATGTGGAGGCGTACGTTGATGACATGGTGGTCAAAAGCAAACAGGTGGACCAACATATTTCAGATCTTGAAGAAGTGTTCAACACCTTGCGAAAGTACGGAATGAAGTTGAACCCCGCAAAATGTGCATTTGGCGTGGCCTCGGGCAAGTTCTTGGGCTTCATGATCACTCATCGGGGGATAGAGGCCAACCTTGATAAAATACAAGCATTAGTGTCTATGGAATCACCAAGGAACAAGAAAGAGGTACAGAGGTTGACTGGTAGGATAGCAGCCTTGAACAGGTTCATGTCCCGAGCATCAGACATGTGCTATCCCTTTTTCGAAGTCCTCAGAGGAAACCAAAGCTTTGATTGGAGTGAAGACTGTGAGAAAGCTTTTCAGGAACTCAAGCAGACATTGGCATCTCCTCCTATTCTAACGAAGCCTGAGCGTGGTGACACCTTATTTTTGTACCTGGCCGTATCTCAAAATGCGGTCAGCGGGGTCTTGGTGAAAAAGGTTAACAAAGTCCAACAACCAATCTACTATGTAAGCAAGGTCCTACTGGATGCGAAAACAAGGTATACTTTGGCGGAACAACTTGCCCTTGCCTTGGTTGTAGCAGCACGAAAACTCAGGCAGTATTTCCAGTCTCACCCTATTGTGGTGCTCACTAATCAACCACTTAGGCACATACTTTAGAAGCCGGACGTATCGGGAAGACTGATGAAGTGGGCAATCGAGCTAGGAGAATTTGATATTGAATTCAAACTACGCCCATCTATCAAAACCCAAGCACTAGCCGACTTCATCGCAGAACTAACCCCTAGGCCTCGGGGGCCAGGTGACAGCTCGAGCATGAGCACTAATTCGGACACTTGGCAAATTTTTGTGGATGGAGCATCGAACTCCTCGAGCTCGGGCGCAGGGGTCATCCTCATCAGCCCTGACAAACAAACAGAGATCCAATGCGCTCTCAGGTTCGAGTTTGAAGCAACCAACAACGAGGCCGAGTATGAGGCCGTCGTTATTGCTTTGGAGCTAGCCCTTTGCCTTGAGCTCGAGTTCGTAAAAATATTCAGCGATTCACAACTGGTGGTCGGACAGATTGAAGGATCATTTGAAAGGAAGGACGAAAAAATGAGTTTGTATTGTATGAAGGTTCAGGACCTTCAACGAAAATTCAAGAGGTGTGAAATTGCAAAAATTGCTCGAAAGGACAACGGAAAAGCCGACGCATTATCC